TTGGGGGGGGGACACGGGGCCGTCCTCATGTTGGGGGGGGACACGGGGCCGTCCTCATGTTGGGGGGGGGACACGGGGCCGTCCTCATGTTGCGGGGGGACACGGGGCCGTCCTCATGTTGAGGGGGGACACGGGGCCGTCCTCATGTTGAGGGGGGGGACACGGGGCCGTCCTCATGTTGAGGGGGGACACGGGGCCGTCCTCATGTTGGGGGGGGACACGGGGCCGTCCTCATGTTGGGGGGGACACGGGGCCGTCCTCATGTTGAGGGGGGACACGGGGCCGTCCTCATGTTGGGGGGGGGGACACGGGGCCGTCCTCATGTTGGGGGGGGACACGGGGCCGTCCTCATGTTGGGGGGGGACACGGGGCCGTCCTCATGTTGAGGGGGGGACACGGGGCCGTCCTCATGTTGAGGGGGGACACGGGGCCGTCCTCATGTTGGGGGGGACACGGGGCCGTCCTCATGTTGAGGGGGGACACGGGGCCGTCCTCATGTTGGGGGGGGACACGGGGCCGTCCTCATGTTGGGGGGGGGCACGGGGCCGTCCTCATGTTGGGGGGGGGACGGGGCCGTCCTCATGTTGGGGGGGGGACACGGGGCCGTCCTCATGTTGGGGGGGGACACGGGGCCGTCCTCATGTTGAGGGGGGGGACACGGGGCCGTCCTCATGTTGGGGGGGGGACACGGGGCCGTCCTCATGTGGGGGGGGGCACGGGGCCGTCCTCATGTTGAGGGGGGGGACACGGGGCCGTCCTCATGTTGAGGGGGGACACGGGGCCGTCCTCATGTTGAGGGGGGACACGGGGCCGTCCTCATGTTGAGGGGGGACACGGGGCCGTCCTCATGTTGAGGGGGGACACGGGGCCGTCCTCATGTTGGGGGGGGACACGGGGCCGTCCTCATGTTGAGGGGGGACACGGGGCCGTCCTCATGTTGCGGGGGGACACGGGGCCGTCCTCATGTTGAGGGGGGACACGGGGCCGTCCTCATGTTGTGGGGGGGGACACGGGGCCATCCTCATGTTGAGGGGGGAGGGCACGGGGCCGTCCTCATGTTGAGGGGGGGGGACACGGGGCCGTCCTCATGTTGAGGGGGGACACGGGGCCGTCCTCATGTTGAGGGGGGGGACACGGGGCCGTCCTCATGTTGAGGGGGGACACGGGGCCGTCCTCATGTTGAGGGGGGGGGGCACGGGGCCGTCCTCATGTTGAGGGGGGACACGGGGCCATCCTCATGTTGAGGGGGACACGGGGCCGTCCTCATGTTTTGAGGGGGGCACGGGGCCGTCCTCATGTTGGGGGGGGACACGGGGCCGTCCTCATGTTGAGGGGGGAGGGACGGGGCCGTCCTCATGTTGGGGGGGGACACGGGGCCGTCCTCATGTTGGGGGGGGACACGGGGCCGTCCTCATGTTGGGGGGGGACACGGGGCCGTCCTCATGTTGAGGGGGGGACACGGGGCCGTCCTCATGTTGGGGGGGGGACACGGGGCCGTCCTCATGTTGGGGGGGGGGACACGGGGCCGTCCTCATGTTGGGGGGGACACGGGGCCGTCCTCATGTTGAGGGGGGGACACGGGGCCGTCCTCATGTTGGGGGGGGACACGGGGCCGTCCTCATGTTGGGGGGGGACACGGGGCCGTCCTCATGTTGAGGGGGGGACACGGGGCCGTCCTCATGTTGGGGGGGGGGACACGGGGCCGTCCTCATGTTGGGGGGGGACACGGGGCCGTCCTCATGTTGAGGGGGGGACACGGGGCCGTCCTCATGTTGAGGGGGGACACGGGGCCGTCCTCATGTTGAGGGGGGACACGGGGCCGTCCTCATGTTGAGGGGGGGACACGGGGCCGTCCTCATGTTGAGGGGGGGGCACGGGGCCGTCCTCATGTTGAGGGGGGGGACACGGGGCCGTCCTCATGTTGAGGGGGGACACGGGGCCGTCCTCATGTTGAGGGGGGACACGGGGCCGCCCTTCATGTTGGGGGGGGACACGGGGCCGTCCTCATGTTGAGGGGGGGGACACGGGGCCGTCCTCATCATGTTGGGGGGGGACCCGGGGCCGTCCTCATGTTGAGGGGGGACACGGGGCCGTCCTCATGTTGGGGGGGGACACGGGGCCGTCCTCATGTTGAGGGGGGACACGGGGCCGTCCTCATGTTGAGGGGGGACACGGGGCCGTCCTCATGTTGAGGGGGGACACGGGGCCGTCCTCATGTTGAGGGGGGGACACGGGGCCGTCCTCATGTTGAGGGGGGACACGGGGCCATCCCCATGTTGGGGGAGGGGGGACACGGGGCCGTCCTCATGTTGGGGGGGGGACACGGGGCCGTCCTCATGTTGAGGGGGGACACGGGGCCGTCCTCATGTTGGGGGGGGACACGGGGCCGTCCTCATGTTGGGGGGGGGACACGGGGCCGTCCTCATGTGGGGGGGGACCCGGGGCCGCCCTCATGTTGCGGGGGGGGGCACGGGGCCGTCCTCATGTTGAGGGGGGGGGACACGGGGCCGTCCTCATGTTGAGGAGGGGGGACACGGGGCCGTCCTCATGTTGAGGGGGACACGGGGCCGTCCTCATGTTGAGGGGGGGGACACGGGGCCGTCCTCATGTTGGGGGGGGACACGGGGCCGTCCTCATGTTGAGGGGGGACACGGGGCCGTCCTCATGTTGGGGGGGACACGGGGCCGTCCTCATGTTGGGGGGGGACACGGGGCCGTCCTCATGTTGAGGGGGGGGGACTCGGGGCCGTCCTCATTTTGAGGGGGGGACACGGGGCCGTCCTCATGTTGGGGGGGGGAGACACGGGGCCGTCCTCATGTTGAGGGGGGACACGGGGCCGTCCTCATGTTGATGGGGGGACACGGGGCCGTCCTCATGTTGGGGGGGGGCACGGGGCCGTCCTCATGTTGGGGGGGGGACACGGGGCCGTCCTCATGTTGAGGGGGGACACGGGGCCGTCCTCATGTTGGGGGGACACGGGGCCGTCCTCATGTTGAGGGGGGGACACGGGGCCGTCCTCATGTTGAGGGGGGACACGGGGCCGTCCTCATGTTGGGGGGGGGACACGGGGCCGTCCTCATGTTGAGGGGGGGGACACGGGGCCGTCCTCATGTTGTTGAGGGGGGACACGGGGCCGTCCTCATGTTGAGGGGGGGACACGGGGCCGTCCTCATGTTGAGGGGGGGGGACACGGGGCCGTCCTCATGTGAGGGGGGGGGACACGGGGCCGTCCTCATGTTGGGGGGGGACACGGGGCCGTCCTCATGTTGGGGGGGGGGCACGGGGCCGTCCTCATGTTGGGGGGGGACACGGGGCCGTCCTCATGTTGGGGGGAGGGGACACGGGGCCGTCCTCATGTTGAGGGGGACACGGGGCCGTCCTCATGTTGAGGGGGGACACGGGGCCGTCCTCATGTTGAGGGGGGGGACACGGGGCCGACCTCATGTTGGGGGGGGACACGGGGCCGTCCACATGTTGAGGGGGGCCACGGGGCCGTCCTCATGTTGGGGGGGGGTACACGGGGCCGTCCTTATGTTGAGGGGGGGGACACGGGGCCGTCCTCATGTTGGGGGGGGACACGGGGCCGTCCTCATGTTGAGGGGGGGCACGGGGCCGTCCTCATGTTGAGGGGGGGACACGGGGCCGTCCTCATGTTGAGGGGGGGGCACGGGGCCGTCCTCATGTTGAGGGGGGACACGGGGCCGTCCTCATGTTGGGGGGGACACGGGGCCGTCCTCATGTTGGGGGGGACACGGGGCCGTCCTCATGTTGGGGGAGGGCACGGGGCCGTCCTCATGTTAAGGGGGGACACGGGGCCGTCCTCATGTTGAGGGGGGACACGGGGCCGTCCTCATGTTGGGGGGGGACACGGGGCCGTCCTCATGTTGGGGGGGGGACACGGGGCCGTCCTCATGTTGGGGGGGACACGGGGCCGTCCTCATGTTGGGGGGGGACACGGGGCCGTCCTCATGTTGAGGGGGGACACGGGGCCGTCCTCATGTTGAGGGGGGGACACGGGGCCGTCCTCATGTTGGGGAGGGGACACGGGGCCGTCCTCATGTTGGGGGGGGGGACACGGGGCCGTCCTCATGTTGGGGGGGGGCACGGGGCCGTCCTCATGTTGGGGGGAGACACGGGGCCGTCTTCATGTTGAGGGGGGACACGGGGCCGTCCTCATGTTGAGGGGGGGACACGGGGCCGTCCTTCATGTTGGGGGGGGACAGGGGGCCGTCCTCATGTTGGGGGGGGAAGGGGGCCGTCTTCATGTTGGGGGGGGGCAAGGCTGCCCTCATGTTGGGGGAGGGAACGGGGCTGCCCTTCATGTTGGGGGGAGGAAAGGCTGCCCTTCATGTAGGGGGGAGGGAAGGCTGCCCTTCATGTTGGGGGAGGGAAGGCTGCCCTTCATGTTGGGGATGGGAAGGCTGTCCTTCATGTTGGGGGAGGAAAGGCTGCCCTTCATGTAGGGGGGAGGGATGGCTGCCCTTCATATTGGGGGAGGGAAGGCTGCCCTTCATGAAGGGGGGAGGGAAGGCTGCCCTTCATGTTGGGGGAGGGAAGGCTGCCCTTCATGTTGGGGGAGGGAAGGCTGCCCTTCATGTTGGGGGAGGGAAGGCTGCCCTTCATGTTGGGGGAGGGAAGGCTGCCCTTCATGTTGGGGGAGGGAAGGCTGCCCTTCATGTAGGGGGGAGGGAAGGCTGTCCTTCATGTTGGGGGAGGGAAGGCTGCCCTTCATGTTGGGGGAGGGAAGGCTGCCCTTCATGTTGGGGGAGGGAAGGCTGCCCTTCATGTTGGGGGAGGGAAGGCTGCCCTTCATGTTGGGGGAGGGAAGGCTGCCCTTCATGTTGGGGTAGGGAAGGCTGCCCTTCATGTTTGGGGAGGGCAGGCTGCCCTTCATGTTGGGGGAGGGAAGGCTGCCCTTCATGTTTGGGGAGGGCAGGCTGCCCTTCATGTTGGGGGGAGGAAAGGCTGCCCTTCATGGTGGGGGGAGGGAAGGCTTCCCTTCATGTTGAGGGAGGGGAGGCTGCTCCTCCACCACCCTGACTAAGGGGCGTCCCTCCACCACCCTGACTAAGGGGCGTCCCTCCACCACCCTGACTAAGGGGCGACCCTCCACCACCCTGACTAAGGGGCGTCCCTCCACCACCCTGACTAAGGGGCGACCCTCCACCACCCTGACTAAGGGGCGACCCTCCACCACCCTGACTAAGGGGCGACCCTCCACCACCCTGACTAAGGGGCGACCCTCCACCACCCTGACTAAGGGGCGACCCTCCACCACCCTGACTAAGGGGCGACCCTCCACCACCCTGACTTAGGGGCGACCCTCCACCACCCTGACTAAGGGGCGACCCTCCACCACCCTGACTTAGGGGCGACCCTCCACCAACCTGACTAAGGGGCGACCCTCCACCACCCTGACTAAGGGGCGACCCTCCACCAACCTGACTAAGGGGCGACCCTCCACCAACCTGACTAAGGGGCGTCCCTCCACCACCCTGACTAAGGGGCAACCCTCCACCAACCTGACTAAGGGGCGACCCTCCACCACCCTGACTAAGGGGCGACCCTCCACCAACCTGACTAAGGGGCGACCCTCCACCACCCTGACTAAGGGGCGACCCTCCACCAACCTGACTAAGGGGCGACCCTCCACCAACCTGACTAAGGGGCGACCCTCCACCACCCTGACTAAGGGGCGACCCTCTACCACCCTGACTAAGGGGCGACCCTCCACCACCCTGACTAAGGGGCGACCCTCCACCACCCTGACTAAGGGGCGTCCCTCCACCACCCTGACTAAGGGGCGACCCTCCACCAACCTGACTAAGGGGCGACCCTCCACCAACCTGACTAAGGGGGACCCTCCACCAACCTGACTAAGGGGCGACCCTCCACCACCCTGACTAAGGGGCGACCCTCCACCACCCTGACTAAGGGGCGACCCTCTACCACCCTGACTAAGGGGCGACCCTCTACCACCCTGACTAAGGGGCGACCCTCCACCACCCTGACTATGGGGCGACCCTCTACCACCCTGACTAAGGGGCGACCCTCCACCACCCTGACTCCCATTCTTATACACCAAGAAAATACTAAATTAATAAAGGCTTAACAAAGTGTACCTACTAACAGCGTCTCGTGCTTATACCATATTTACTCCCATTATTTTCAACAAGGACTTTAGCAAACTCTTTGCACACTGCGCTTCATGAAAGACTGAAGAGGTTGAGGCGCAATGTATAGGGAGGGGTGGGAGGGGGTGAGGATGAGAAGGGGGGTGGGAGGGGGGTGAGGATGAGAAGGGGGGTGGGAGGGGGTGAGGATGAGAAGGGGGGTGGGAGGGGGGTGAGGATGAGAAGGGGGGTGGGAGGGGGGTGAGGATGAGAAGGGGGGTGGGAGGGGGGTGAGGATGAGAAGGGGGGTGGGAGGGGGGTGAGGATGAGAAGGGGGGTGGGAGGGTGGTGAGGATGAGAAGGGGAGTGAGGGGGGGAAGGGGGTGTCTTGAGATCGTTCAGGGCATAGTTGGTTTGTTAGGAAGTAATATATAAAGTGAGACAAACCTGAAAGGGAAATGGTTGGTATTGGAGTGCCCCGGGGCTCTGTCTTGGGACCTCTCATGTTTATCATATATCAATGGGAACCTCAGTAGGAGTCATGACAAGGATTCGAACTCACGCTCTGGGTACTCCCAAGTGGTCTTAGGCTTGTCCTTGGGAGTACCCACAGCATAGGTTCGAATCCTTCCCATGGGGGAGCCGGTCGGCCGAGCGGACAGCACGCGGGGCTTGTAATCCTGTGGTCCTAGGTTCGATCCCAGGCGCCGGCGAGAAACAATGGGCAGAGTTTCTTTCACCCTATGCTCCTGTTACCTAGCAGTAAATAGGTATCTGGTGTTAGTCAGCTGTCACAGGCTGCTTCCTGGGGGTGGAGGCCTGGTCGAGGACCGGGCCGCGGGGACACTAAAAAAGCCCCGAAATCATCTCAAGATAACCTCAAGATGGCTCCCACTGATTTTCAAATTCCCTATTGATACAATAGTCTCGAAAATTTATTGAAATTTCACCCACAAAATGAAGCTGCTTAATGGTAATGACTGAAACAATTTTGTTTTAGCGCAGGAAATAATTATATTTTATTTGTATAAATATTGACATCATTTAGATAACATGTAATTTTTTATTCTATTTAGATAATAACAAATGAACTCCCAAGATGAAGCATCATTAATTACCCAACAAGGTGAAGCAGAATCATTAGCCTAACACTGAACTATGAAATAAAGTGAACTATTATATGAAAAGTTGTAATTTACATATTAATTAAAAAGCTATTCACATTTATTACGTTAATTAAAAAAAACATTATTTTAATGACTTAAATTGAGAATTAACTAATCAAATTAGTTAAGCAAAATTACATAAACTTTATATATGTAAAAATAGTCAAATAATTCCCCATGAACCACCCAATTGGGTCGGCAGGCCCTGTTAATGTTTTTATTGATGGCTGTGAACCATATGATTGATGAGACAAGGTTAATGTCTCACAAGTGGTTAATGTCTCACAAGTGGTTAATGTCTCACAAGTGGTTAATGTCTCACATGTGGTTAATGTCTCACATGTGCTTAATGTCTCACAAGTGGTTAATGTCTCACAAGTGGTTCATGTCTCGCAAGTGGTTAATGTCTCGCAAGCGGTTAATGTCTCACAAGTGGTCAATGTCTCACAAGAGGCCTATGTCTCACAAGTGGTTAATGTCTCACAAGTGGTTAATGTCTCACATGTGGTTAATGTCTCACATGTGCTTAATGTCTCACAAGTGGTTAATGTCTCACAAGTGGTTCATGTCTCGCAAGTGGTTAATGTCTCACAAGTGGTTAATGTCTCGCAAGTGGTTAATGTCTCGCAAGTAGTTAATGTCTCACAAGTGGTTAATGTCTCACAAGTGGTTAATGTCTCACAAGTGGTTAATGTCTCACAAGTGGTTAATGTCTCGCAAGTGGTTAATGTCTCACAAGTGGTTAATGTCTCACAAGTGGTTAATGTCTCACAAGTGGTTAATGTCTCGCAAGTGGTTAATGTCTCACAAGTGGTTAATGTCTCACAAGTGGTTAATGTCTCACAAGTGGTTAATGTCTCGCAAGTGGTTCATGTCTCGCAAGTGGTTAATGTCTCACAAGTGGTTAATGTCTCACAAGTGGTTAATGTCTCGCAAGTGGTTAATGTCTCGCAAGTGGTTAATGTCTCGCAAGTGGTTAATGTCTCACAAGTGGTTAATGTCTCACAAGTGGTTAATGTCTCGCAAGTGGTTAATGTCTCACAAGTGGTCAATCTCTCACAAGAGGCCTATGTCTCACAAGTGGTTAATGTCTCACAAGTGGTTAATGTCTCACAAGAGGCCTATGTCTCACAAGTGGTTAATGTCTCACAAGAGGCCTATGTTTCACAAGTGGTTAATGTCTCACAAGAGGTTTATGTCTCACAAGAGGCCTATGTCTCACAAGTGGTTAATGTCTCACAAGAGGTTCATGTCTCACAAGAGGCCTATGTCTCACAAGTGGTTAATGTCTCACAAGAGGCCTATGTCTCACAAGAGGTTCATGTCTCACAAGAGGCCTATGTCTCACAAGTGGTTAATGTCTCACAAGAGGCCTATGTCTCACAAGTGGTTAATGTCTCACAAATGGTTAATGTCTCACAAGTGGTTAATGTCTCACAAGTGGTTAATGTCTCACAAGTGGTTAATGTCTCACAAGAGGCCTATGTCTCACAAGAGGTTCATGTCTCACAAGAGGCCTATGTCTCACAAGTGGTTAATGTCTCACAAGAGGCCTATGTCTCACAAGAGGTTCATGTCTCACAAGAGGCCTATGTCTCACACATGGTATATGTCTACACGACTACTATAGAGGCCAGTGGTGGCTGAGCCATAAACCCGAGCCACACTACAGAGGTGGGTGGAGACTCCTGGTGCTCAGAGAGAGGACAAACACTAGAGTTTTGTCTAGAGGGAAGAAGAATGTCACTTTTACACTACACTTAATTAACTGGTAAAGTGTTGCAGTAGCTGTTTGTATAGCTATATCAACACCCCGTCAGCGCAGTAGCACCAGCAGCAGGCAGTAGCAGGCAGCAGCAGCAGTACCAGCAGCAGGCTGTAGCAGGCAGCACCAGCAGCACCAGGCAGCACCAGCAGCACCAGGCAGCACCAGCAGGCAGCACCAGCAGCACCAGGCAGCACCAGCAGGCAGCAGCAGCAGCAGCAGGCAGCAGCAGCAGGCAGCAGCAGCAGGCCACCAGCAGGCAACAGCAGCAGCAGCAGGCCAGCAGCAGCAACACAGCAGCAGCACCAGGCACCAGCAGCAGCACCAGCAGCAGCAGGCAGCACCAGCAGGAGCAGCAGGCAGCAGCAGCAGGCAACACCAGGAGCAGCACAGCAGCAGCAGCAGGCAGCAGCAGCAACACACCAGCAGCAGCAGGCACCAGGAGCAACACAGCAGCAGCAGCAGGCTCACACCAGGAGCAGCAGGCAGCACCAGCAGCACCAGCACCAGCACAGCAGGCAGCAGCAGCAGGCCACCAGCAGTAACACAGCAGCAGCAGCGGCACACCAGGCAGCAGCACAGCAGCAGCAGCAGGGCAGCAGGAGTAACAGGCAGCAGCAGCAGCCACCAGCAGCAGCACCAGCAGCAGCAGGCCACCAGCAGCAGGCAGCAGCAGCAGCAGGCCACCAGCAGCAGCACAGCAGCAGCAGGCAGCACCAGCAGCAACACAGCAGCAGCAGCAGGCCACAGCAGCAGCAGCACCAGCAGCAGCAGGCAGCACCAGGAGCAGCAGGCAGCAGCAGCAGCCACCAGGCAGCAGCAGCAGCAGCAGCCACCACCAGTCAGCAGCAGCAGCAGGCAGCAGCAGCAGGCAGCAGCAGGCCAAGGCAGCAGCAACACAGCAGCAGCAGCAGCAGCACCAGGCAGCAACACAGCAGCAGCAGCAGGCCACCAGCAGCAGCACAGCAGCAGCAGCAGGCACCAGCCTCACACAGCAGCAGCAGCAGGCCACCAGCAGCAGGCAGCACCAGCAGCAGCAGCAGCAGCACCAGGAGCAACAGGCAGCAGCAGCAGGCCACCAGCAGCAGCACCAGCAGCAGCAGCAGGCAGCACCACCAGCAACAGCAGCAGCAGCAGCACCACCAGCAACAGCAGCAGCAGCAGCACCAGGAGTAACACAGGCAGCAGCAACAGCAGCAGCACACAGCAGCAGGCAGCACCAGGAGCAACAGGCAGCAGCAGCAGGCCACCAGCAGCAGCACAGCAGCAGCAGGCCAGCAGCAGCAACACAGCAGGCAGCAGCACCAGGCAGCAGCAGCAGCAGGCACCAGGAGCAACAGGCAGCAGCAGCAGCAGCAGGCAGCACACCAGCAGGCAGCAGCAGCAGCAGCAGCAGCAGGCAGCAGCAGTAGCACAGCAGCAGCAGCAGCAGCCAGCCAGCAGCAGCAGCAGCAGCAGCAGCCACCAGGCAGCAGCACAGCAGCAGCAGCAGCCACCAGCAGCAACAGCAGCAGCAGCAGGCCAGCAGCAGTAACACAGCAGCAGCAGGCAGCAGCAGGAGCAGGCAGCAGCAGCAGCAGGCCACCAGGAGCAACACAGCAGCAGCAGCAGCCACCAGCAGCACACAGGCAGCAGCAGCAGGCCACCAGCAGCAACACAGCAGCAGCAGCAGGCAGCACCAGGCAGCACACAGCAGCAGCAGGCCACCAGCAGCAGCACAGCAGCAGCAGCAGGCAGCAGCAGCAGTAAGCACAGCAGCAGCAGGCACCAGCAGCACACAGCAGCAGCAGCAGGCCAGCACAGGCAGCAGCAGCAGCAGCAGGCACCAGGCAGCAGCACCAGCAGCAGCAGCAGGCAGCAGCAGCAGCAGCACAGCAGCAGCAGCAGCAGCAGCAGGCAGCAGCAGCAGCCTCACACCAGGCAGTAACAGCAGCAGCACCAGCAGGCACCAGGAGCAGCACACGGCAGCAGCAGCAGGCCAGCAGGCAGCACCAGCAGCAGCAGCAGGCCACCAGCAGGCAGCAGCACCACAGCAGCAGCAGCAGCAGCACCAGGCAGCAGCAGCAGGCAGCAGCAGCAGGCAGCACCACCAGTAACAGCAGGCAGCAGCAGCAGGCCACCAGGCAGCAACACAGCAGCAGCAGCAGCAGCACCAGGAGGCACACAGCAGCAGCAGCAGGCCACCAGGCAGCAGCACAGCAGCAGCAGCAGCAGCAGCAGGCAGCACCGCCGTGCAGCAGCAGCAGGCAGCACCAGCAGCAGGCAGCACACAGCAGGCAGCAGCAGGCTCACACCAGGCAGCAGCAGCAGGCAGCACCAGCAGGCAGCAGCAGGCAGCACCAGCAGCAGCACCAGCAGCACACCAGCAGCAGCAGCAGCAGCAGCAGCAGCAGGCCAGCAGCAGGCACACAGCAGCAGCAGGCCACCAGCAGTAACACAGCAGCAGCAGCAGGCCACCAGGCAGCACAGCAGCAGCAGCAGCACCAGCAGTAACACAGGCAGCAGCAGCAGGCCACCAGGCAGCAGCAGGCAGCACCAGCAGCACCAGCAGCAGCACCAGCAGCACCACCAGGCAGCAGCAGGCAGCAGCAGCAGGCAGCACCAGCAGGCAGCACAGCAGCAGCAGGCAGCAGCAGGTAGCAGCAGCAGCAGCAGCAGCAGGCAGCAGCACAGCAGCAGCAGCAGCAGCAGCAGGCAGCAGCAGCAGCAGCACCAGCAGGCCACCAGGCAGCAGCACAGCAGCAGCAGCAGCAGCACCAGCAGTAACAGCAGCAGCAGCAGCAGCACCAGCAGCAGCAGCAGCAGCAGCAGGCAGCAGCAGCAGGCAGCAGCACCACCACCAGGCAGCAGCAGCAGCAGCAGGCAGCAGCAGCAGCAGCACCAGCAGCAGCAGCAGCAGGCCACCAGGCAGCAGCACAGCAGCACCAGCAGGCAGCAGCAGGAGCACACAGCAGCAGCAGCAGGCCACCAGCCAGCAACAGCAGCAGCAGCAGGCCACCACCAGCAGCACAGCAGCAGCAGCAGGCAGCACCAGCAGGCAACACAGGCAGCAGCAGCAGGCCACCAGGCAGCAGCACCAGCAGCAGCAGCAGGCAGCACCAGCAGTAACAGCAGGCAGCAGCAGCAGCAGCACCAGGCAGCAGCACCAGCAGCAGCAGCAGCACCAGCAGCAACAGGCAGCAGCAGCAGCAGCACCAGGCAGCAGCACAGCAGCAGCAGGCAGCAGCAGCAGCAGGCCAGCAGCAGCAGCAGCAGCAGCAGGCAGCAGCACC